AGTTCTTCCCATAGAGGTAGTCCTCTATCTGCATCCTCCAATAACTAAAATCTGTGCCATCAAATTTCTCGATCCTTGAAACATTCACTTCATCTGCAGTCATCATTCTTCCTCAGATCCGAACAAAGCTCTGATATCAGTTGTTGGGGGAGATCTATAGATATACACCAGTTAATGTGGTATATATATAAATCAAACAGAAGAACGATCGACGAAGCAAAAAATAAAACAAGAAAATTTACACCAGAAAAGAACACAGATTTACGTGGTTTGACAAATTGACTACGTCCACGGAGTTGCAGAGAATTTTATTGCTTGAGGAATTTATTACAGTCGAGGAATCTCTCACTCTCACTTCGTTGCACTCTCTTCTTCTCTCTGTTCTTCTCTCTACACCGAGAAACACCAAAGAAGACAAACTTACAAGAAAAATAAACTCAATTTTTCTTCTGCCACAAGCCATCAAGAAGAAGCCAAGGGAGATTAATCTTCTTCTTCTTTCCTCTTCCTTCACCGCAAGGAACTACTTCTTGCACCTTCCTTCCTCTATCCCGAGGAAACCTTTCTCTATCCCGAGAAAAACCGAAGAAGAACACCGTGACTTCTAAAACTGAAAGAGAGTCATCCAAAGTCGGGAGTCGTCTGAAGCATTTTATCACGAACAGGAGGGAGCGAATGGATGCTACGCTTCACAACATAGGAAGGCAGGAGCGATTGGCGCGCGACTGAAGAGGCGGGAGGCGCGACTCTTCGCGAATGGGAGCGGGAGCGGAATCGCGACGTTTCGCGATCGGGAGTCGAGAGCGGGAAAAATCGGGCTCCAACGCTTAACACTCCAATCGGCTTGGTTTGCCGCTTCACGTTTATTTAGGATAGTATTTTCATTATTTTATTTTTCAAACTTATACCACATATTTGCCTACAGCTTTATTGATATTTTTTAGAAATTTCTATGATTGAAAGCTGCACTTGAGAATCAAATATTTATATATTATAATGTGGTAGTTGTAAGAAAGCTATTGTCAACTTTTCAAAGAAAAAAAATTATATAGATAACTACATTAATAGCACGGAAACATTCCTATTTACAAGATGACCACATAGGCCATTTTTTTGAGATATCAAACCCATATACTCAGGTGTGTCATAATCAAATCATTGCAATTTGATAAAAATGAGTGACAGTTTGAAAGAATTTGTTAAAATGAGTGATAGTTTAAAGAAAGAACGCGAGGTGACGGTTTTTGGGTAAATAAAACTTTTCCAGGTGCATTTGTAAATGCCTCAATATTATCATACACAGCAACTTTCAAACAAAAAGAAATACTTTCTCGGTATCTTTACAAAAAGGAGCCAGCCGCTCCAAACAAGCACTAACATGTTTCTACCAATAACTAAAAAGAATCAAAATGAACCAACAACCAGACCATCAAACCAACGAACTAGTTCTAATTTGGTTGAACCGTCTGGTACATTTCATGATTAAGTTATCATCATTCATTTTCAATTAAATAGCTAAGAAATAAATTAAATAAAAATAATTTAAAACCTCAATTTAACAACTGAAATTCTAGAAGTATTGGCCCCTCAAATTCTCGATATTTCCAGCTTCTGTTGATTCATCATTTCTCCTTACTTTCAGTTTTGATTATAACTTTGAAAAAAGTTAGTCACATAAATATAGTTGCTTAAATTTGAAATTATATAAGATATTTGCATGTCCTATATTGTAGAAACTAATTCTCTATTTGTTCACATTTTTATATCATTAGGACATCGTTTAATTAAAGTGTAAATGATTTATATATCTATCATTCATCATATTTAAACCGTCCATTTAATTTGATTAAACCTTTGAACATTGAACATTTTCTTCTTTCAGTTCAATTTTTGTTTCAATTTTCAAAAAATGAAAAGAACAACTAAAATGTGAGAACATGATAAGAAACATGGAGATGTGATACGCGGGGTTTTGAAAATTGGAGCAAACCAGTGGTGATCAGTTCGATCATGAACTGGTCATAGGTCCAATTCTGATTTGCATAAAAATTCCTTCTCGCATAAAACCGTGCTGAACCCGTGGTTCAAACTGTGAACCTGAGAACCGGCGCCGGTTCGAAGGAGCCGTCTAGTTCAATATCTACGATATTTTAATGAAATATTTGAGTTTCGCACGTCACACTCGCTGTGCAAAACCCTATTCCCTATTTCAAATCCCATCTCCATCCAGGTTTTGCACTTCGCCCTTGCAGTTTGCTCGGCCTTCTTTGCTCATTCTGCAAGTTTTGAGCACTAGAGCAGGCTTGGTTAAGCAATTCATGTAGGATCAAGGCACTGCTGCCTTCTCGAAGCCATCAAATGCCCAAAAAGAGAACTAAGATGCTGCTGCTCGGTTTTCAGGTTGTGAGCGGAGTGTTGAGGCACATTTGGAGGTTCCCACTAAACAAAACCAGCGGGTTTTTGCTGAAACTGAAGTGGAGCAGCAGGTCTTAACGCAGATTGGAGAAGAAGAGCTGGATTTCACGCAAAGCAGTTGCAGCCATAGAGGGACGGAACCAGAAAATGGATAAAATGAGATGTTCATCATCTGAATTAGACACTCAAGCTTCAATTTCCAGCAGCCCTAAAGGGCTTTTACACTGTGCAATCTCCATTAAAGGCTCGGAGAGAAAACTGCTGAAACAAGCTGCTCTACACGCAAAGACAAACAGTAAAGCTCCCTTGACGGATTGGAGCCGACCAGGTTTTGCACCCCGCACTCGCAAATATATTATGGAGTATAGTTAATGGTTTTAATATTTAAACATTTTGAAGTCGTGTTAGCTAAATTTGTTACTCGTTTTAATGACTTCATTTTTGTTGAATTTATATTGTAGAATGAGCAAAGAAGTCGTACATTTTGCCTTAGACTAAGGGAACAAATTGGCTAATTGATGAAAACTTATGTCATATTAAGCCATTATCACAACATTTAAGTCATGTTTAATTTTTTTTTTTTATATATTTATGACGTCACCCGGTTCAACCCCCCGTTAAACTTTCAACCTTGAACCTCTTTATCTTACAGTTTAACGTCCGGTCTAATTTTCAAAACCCGGATGATACCACGTACTATAAAAAAACTTCAAACATTTAAAAGTAAAATGTGAATTGCAAGTAAGAATGTGAAAGGGAGAGATGCATATGCACATCTACAAAAAACATATACAAGAATATATATACAAATTTGAATATACAAACACTACATTAATGCTACAAACACCAAAAAAAAACACACACACACAATAATATATCAAACACAAACTACAATACTACAATATAAATTTCCTATAAAATGGCTAATATACTATAATCTATTATGTCATTTTTTGAAAGTTGCTTCAAACATTTAAAAATTATGCATAAGACGGGGTGTATAGACCTCATTTTAGAAATTTAATTTAAAAATTTCACATAATGTATCTCACAAAATGTCATGTAGTCTAAAATCCAAGTGCCTTGACATATCAAGATCTGACACAGCTTGCATCGTTCTAGGCAAACAATAGCTTCATCAAAACGAAACATTCTTATTTATGATGAATAGATTGTGAGATATCATATATAAGCCATCTTGCCTCAAAAACATAAAATTACGCAAAATAATATAATAATAATAATAATAATAATAATAATAATAATAATAATAATAATAATAATAATAATAATAATAATAATAATAATAATAATAATAATAATAATAATAATAATAATAATAATAATTCAATTATCCACAAAATATTATCATTAATTATTACGTTCAGCATTATGACTCCTTACTTTCCACTCCTTCTTAGTAATGTGTTGTCCAAAGCGTCAAACATTTTAATTGCAAATCATTTTGGACAAATTCTGTCTATGTTATCTTAGGTTCACCACTTCTCCTTCCTAATCATCTCATACTAATTAGTCCACTCTGATGGGTGAATTATTTATCATTCAATTTACTTGTTCAAACCATACAAGCTAATTTTGAATTACCAATCTTCAATGGATATCAGTCTAGCTGCTCTCATATAAACATTTCTTAATTTAGCCTTCAAGTTTTATCAGACATCCATTACAATATTCTCATTTCTTTGGTGTTTAACTTAATTATCAATGAATTTGTTGTTTGCTATCACTCAACCTACACAACACTAGCCTAATTGTGATTTTATTAAATTTGCTTTTAAATATCTATGATATTCTTATATAACATAATATTCTTGATGCACATCTCCATTTTAAGCATTCAATCTTAAATTTAAAAGTTATATTCTTATTGATATGTACATTGTTTTGATGGATACATCCAATATATATAAAATTATCACACTTAAATATGATTTTATCTTCTAATAATATTTCTTTATAGCTATTAATATTAAGACAACTAAAAATTGTATATCATATGCTCAATAACTGTTCTAAATATTTTTTCAGTGTTCAAAATTTTTACTTATTTCCATGGATGTCTCATTAATTAGAGCAATATCTTCAATAGAAAAAAAAACAGCAATATCCCACACTTTAAATATTATTTATAAACATCTATATGCTGATACAAAAAGATATGAATTCATTATTTAACCAGTGATCCATCATATGTGTATTTAATAATGTCAACATACATTTGACACCCCCATTTTTGCTATTATGAGAACAAAATCAATTGTCATTGTACTCAATGATATTTCTTTACAATGGCAATAAAATCATAAAAAAACACTTCTATGATCTATATTTTCTCATTAATTATCCTACAAAAATAGCTACCAAAAGTAGATTTTTCTAACATCAAATCAAATTGTTTCTTTTAAATTGACATAATATTTTCTAAGTGTGTTTCACTTTCTCGTAAATTCATTTTATGAACCATAAGTTTGATTCATCTATTGTGATAAACAAAAATATCCTTTTGACAAAGTATCTACAAAACATGTGCAACTAATAAACAAAAAGTATGAATAATAAATTAATCAAAATCTTACCCCAACATTATTATATTCCCAGAGCTTGTGGACTCCATAGTCTACAATCTGATGTAAAATACAATTATACACAAGTTAGTTGCCTAAATTGAAATGCTTCTGAAATGCTTTCGCATTGAAAAAAAAAGAAAACATTGATTAAAAAACAGAGCTTTAAGCAAGATAAATATCTTAGAATGACATGGATTCATAAATGTGACCTTAACCTATGGATATCTTCTATTTTTTTTAGGTGGAAACAGGTAAATGATCCTGTAAAAGGTTGTGAAACCAAAGATCCATAGAAGATTACTCATACATAGGATTTCCATTAGCTATCAGAATAAAATCTTCGATATCAATCACACGTATTCTGGCATTTTGTGGGTGCAAAGACTAATCGAATCATAAGAATATCAGAATCAATAAATCAGGGTGTAGATCCAGGACAGGCGTGCTTCTCCTAAAAGTTCAAATTCAAGCTCCAACGAGAAAAAAGGGTGAAATATGAGCTATTTCCCAACTCCTTGCATTGAAACCTTTGACATCAAATATGAGATAAAGTGATAAACCGACATCAGCTGATTCCCAACTCCTTGGATTGACACCCATGACATCAAATACAAGAAAAACCTGATGCAGGATTCTAGACAAAAAAAAGGGGGGAAGAAATACTCAGGATTTGACATAGTCATTTCCTATTGTAGTGAGCACTCCATTAAAACTCCACCGCAAAGTTCAGCAAAAATTTCCAATAACCTCGAATGAGCCTCAAGCATAAGCAGAGAACAAATATGGGGAAAAAAATGGAAAAATCCGATGGCCCTTGAAAGACAGGCTGTGCCCAATCTTTTCCCGAATGAACTCGCTATGAGAAAACCCTAACCGATGTAGGATGACAATAAACAGAATACCCTAAATTCATAGAAGATCCCGAATAACTATTTCCGCAGGTGAGACGAACGGAAATGATATATGGAAAATGAAAAAGATACCCGTTCTCCGGCGAAAGCTCCGGCGACGACGAAAGTGACGTAGACGGAGTTCCGGCGCATGAGAACACGGTATAGAGATTCCCAAAGACCGCGCCCGCTACTCCTCGCCATGGATTCCATTTCTTGAATGTGTAGTATGCCTTCTCCCACCTCCGAAACACCGGAGAACAAAAAAAGCTAGTTGCGACTGCCGGCGACGGCGGGTGAATCTAAGGCCTTGTATAGGGAAAAAAATTGCGTGCCTAAGACGTACGCAGCGCTGCGTGAGGTTATATATATATATATATATATATTGAAAAAGTAATATTTTAAGTTTTGAAAACACGGGACCGAAACGATCCCATAACCATAATAGTTTAAATAAACGAGCCTAATACTGCAAGCAATGCATATATCCTGAGGGGTAGACACATTACTTGCTGGTGAGGCTCGGTTAAATAAACTAAAGAATATATGACATCCATTTGAATCTAAAAAAAAACCGTTTTTATGTTGATCAAAAAGTTTCCCTATTTAAAATAAAAATTTAAATAGTGATTATATTAAGCTAGGTTCTTAAAGTTTCCTATAAGGGCAAACCCCTATAGTTAATTACATCTTAGATAATCGAAGTCACCTAAGAAAACTCTTGATTTTGATCAGGGAATATTGTCTTCAAGAATTTCAAAGGGTAGAACTTTTCAAAAGATCAGACCAAAGGATTTTCAAATGGGAAAGGCTCAAATTTGGAACATTGTTATTGAATCCAAAGAAAAAGAAACTAGAGGATGTCACAGATTGTGTGAAGAACCTCGATGACTTTTAAAACTATTGTATGGTTTGGCTTCATTTTCGAGAAGAAAAATAATTTAAATGTTATATCCTGCCAATTTTTTTTAATTAGGGCTTACATTTACATGACACAGTCATACAAATAGCCTGGAAGATGTGAGCATTTAGGTCGTGTCGAACGACAACCTCAAAGCCTAAGGTGAGTTAAGCTTTAAATTGTATAGCAGAGTTATAGAAAGGCCTAAAGATAAAGTGAGGATTTATGTTGCAATAGGTAGACAACGTTGAAGTTTTATGGCTTATTTATTTAATTCTTAAGAAAGATGTGTTTTTGTAGATCCTCATGTTGTTGTAGATCGTTATTGTAGATCACTACCCACGGAGTTAGCTCCAAGCTCCTCGATAAAGTAACAGTCCTAAATTTTAAGGTCCTAAAGGTTTTACCAGATGTTTTAAAGTTAAGGGGGGGTTAAAGTTGATTAGAGCGAAAGCAGAGCGACAACTTCATTTTCAATATTCAGAAAAGAGTATAGAATATAAGATTCAGAATTCTCAGAGACTCTCATAGAGTTACAAACATGACATATATATAGCACCATAGTACAATATATAATTACTTAAATTACCTCTGT